TGCAGGCTGATGCAGCATTCACTTTTGACATTTACGAGTTCAACTTTAAAATCTAACCGCTTAGTATGCCTCGAATATCTTCTTCCACGTGAATATTTTTAACCTCTATATTAAATAAAACTAGTTTTAACGGGTTAATGCACGAACTTTATTTATTTATTGACGTTTCGCAGCCTTTTCAGGTCAGCATCGTCAGAATAATGATTTTTTATATACTTCGTTTAAGGTAGCACCTTCGAAAGACTTTTATTGAGCGTTCGGATATTTCATTGGAAGATTTTTAAAACTTTATTGTCTATGTATAGATTTATTAGTTAATTAACTTAATTAACAACTTTCAACTTTAATGTTCTTTTACAAATTCATATCTTTTTATTTACTTTTATAATTTCAAACAAACCACTTACTAAATAAAACTTAATTTCAACGCGTTTAAAATGCGTCTTTTTGTACTATTTAAAATATCTTTACGTTTTCTGAAAAGGATGCGAAACTCAAAGATACGTAGAAAATTATAAAAAAACGCATTTTAAGCCCGTTCAAAGGTAGTCTTATCTTTATGTTTTTATTTATTTTTAAGCTTTTAACTGCTAGATGTTTAAATCTAAAGAAAAGTTTACTAGAAAAAAAATCCACGCGGACCAGGCAGCGGACGGAACTCGAATCCACACCCTTCGCAATCCGAAATCCGCATTGCGAAGGGTGTGGATTCGAGTTCCGTCCGCTGCCTGGTCCGCGTGGATTTTTTTTCTAGTAAACTTTTCTTTAGTCTTATCTTTTTTCTTTGCCAAGTTCATCGGCTTATCCGTAAAACCATTACATACATAGAAGCAAAGTCAGCTTTGTATTTATGCAAATTTTGAATTACGAAGTCAGGATTTCCTCATGTTAAATGCAGCGTGGTCACACTAGCGAACAAGAGACGTCGTTAGCAGACAATGTCTCGGAGTAGCGAGGCTCCAGCAAATTAGTGAGTTGAGTGTTATTCTAGAGCTTCCAACACGTATGCTGGTGCAACTATTTCTGTAGAAAATACTTTGATCTCATGTACTTATTCATAGACGTTACATAAATTCGAAAGTAATTTTTTGGCCAGCCAAAACAGCCAAATTTTACAGTTGGCTGTTAACAAAATTAAATCAAAAGAAAAGTTTACTAGAAAAAAAAAACCACACGGAGCAGGCAGCGGACGGGACTCGAACCCGCATCCTTCGCTATCCGGGCGAATGCACTGACCATTATGCTACCATGGCCCTATTAGCCGAGTCGAAATTTTCCTAGCCTTAAGCTGCAAGGCAGCGCCATCTCTTCACATTGTAGGTAACCCAAAAAAAAATCAAATTAAATCAGTTTCATTTATTTCAGGCAACACTGCTAGCTTTTAAGCCTATTGCACGTATATTTTTAAAGTAATTTATAACCTAATAGTATATTTTTATTTCGGAACAGCATACTATGTACACTTTAAGAAGGGCCGACCCGAGCATTCTTGGCGCCCTTATCGAAATATTGGAACGACGCTCTTTCCACAGTTTATTTTTTATATTAAAGTCTGACAAAAGACTCCACGCTATCGGATGTTAAGTGGCGGTGAAGACCAGAGAGGAAACACCTGACACAAGTTTACTTCGATGTAAACAAAAAAAAACGCAGCCAAAATTTTATAAATGCTTTCGATTTGATATTGAAAAACATTTACCATAATAAAAAGGCTCGACTCTTTCAGAGAAGTGGACAAATCGGAGTACTTTCAAGTTGTAAATAAATAAACTGTATATTTATATTTTCATGCCGCCGACTGCCCCCCCCCCCTTCCCCCCCTAAAACTAGGGCCCTTTAGGCCATCGCCTAGTTCGCCGGCCCTGAATGTTAGGTATATAGGTATTTTTAATTATAGTAGGAGAGCCCAAGCGGGGAGTTTTGAATTTACTCGAGCGCGGCAGAATAACATATGGGGAGCAACCTTGCACCTAGTTAAGTACTCCCACCATACCTGAGCCATCTATGTAGGGCCGAACGTCTAGGGCAGCAAAAACAAAATTTCAACGAACGGTCATGACTTTTGGTCGCGCCCAAATCGTCAGTCTTTTGAATATAAGCTACTAGAGGGTTCATGTAACGTTTCTAAGAACGGAAAAAATATTGATCTGCCGGTTTGCATGATACAGGGGTGGCCGTACGAAGGGGTAGAATATAGGAAAAAATAACCGAGCGCGTCAGACATTGAGAAGGGATGTTACGTGAACCCTCCAGTAGCTCCTATTCAAAAGACTGACGATTTGAACCCGACCAAAAGTCATGGCTGTTTGTTGAAATTTTGTTTTTGATGTTTAGGTAGCATAATTGGTCAGTGCATTCGCCCGGATTGCGAAGGGTGCGGGTTCGAATCCCGCCTGCTGCCTGGTCCGCGTGGAATTTTTTCTAGTTATATTTTCTTTAATATTTTTGATTGATTTTGATTTGATTAACATCAATACAATTAATCTCTTACACACTGAGTTTGTTTTCGTAATGCTAGTAACCAAATTTCTTTATAATTCATCAAAATGCTTTGAGAACATTTAAGTGAACAAAAGACAAACAATACTACAGAAACGTCAAAGTAACGGCGGTATTGATCCTTTAGTAACACTATTTCGGCCGCGTCCTTCCATTGACCTACTTCAACCGTTTGAATTAAATATGTCGCGTACAAAAATACTTAGTTCATTCGACACGATTAAACTCGGGTTGAATTAAACAAATTTTCGTACCCGAGAATCACGTACATTTGCACGGTAAACGAAATTAAATTACACGGTGAACTTACAAATTGAATCAATTCTCTGTAAGGTAGTGAACCGTTCCAGAAATCAAATTAACCTTATTGGTGAAATAGAATGCTTGCAAAAGTCTTTTCTAATGTCGTGTTAGATACACAACAAAATCTTTAACATAATTTTATAATAAACATTATCTTTAACATAATTAGGTTTCTACTAACATAGTTATTATTTTTTATGTACTAACATGTAATGTATTATCTAAATCTATACATATATACTACTAGCGGCCCGCCCTCGCTTCGCTTCGGTGTAGAGCTGAAGTGTAGACTACAGTTTTTGTTCTCAGGCTTGTTTTATACACAATGACATTCATCTATGATTCTTCTTATACCTGCATGCAAAGTCTCAGCCCGATCGGTTTAAAATTGACAAAGTTTCATACAAACTTTCATTCCCTTTTTTATCCCTTTGGGGGTAGAATTGATCAAAATCCATTCTTAGCGGATGCCTACGTCATAACATTTACCTGGATGCCAAATTTCAGCCCGATCCGTCCAGTGGTTTGAGCTGTGCGTTGATAGATCACTATGTCAGTCAGTCACCTTTGAGTTTTATATATATAGATGACACAGCAATCAAAATGCAAGTAAACAATTAATGTATATTTAATAATTATGTAATGGAAGGTGACTTCAGAAGTATCTCTGAAGTCATTTTTCAACTTGACAACTCTGTATATATCAATACAGGGAGAAAAAAGCAGCCCTTGCTAAGTTTCTTGCCGGTTCTTCTCAGTACAAGGTCTCCCGCCGTAGATTTACGAACCGATGGCGTAGCTTCTAGACATTCATGAGTGCTTGTAAGAGCCTAAACTGAATAAATGATTTTGATTATGATTATGTACTAATAAATAAATAAATAAATAATAAATAAATAAATATTTCTGACACACACCAATTAGCCTAGCCCCAAAGTAAGCACTATAAGGCTTGTGTTATGGGATGCTAGGGTAACGGATAGAATACATATACTGTACATATATAAGTATATTTATATAAATACATATTAAACATCCATGACTGGAGTACAAATGCTCGTATTCATCACACAAACATCTGCCCCCACCGGGATTCGAACCCGGGACCTCTCGAGTCGGCGACAGCCATGAAACCCGGCGTACAAACCACTCGGCCACGGAGGTCGTCGACTAAAGTTTAATGTATTACCTATATCTGTATATATGTTAGACTATAAGGTATTTATCTATGGGCCTACGTTGCCTGATTATAAACAAATAAATATATAATGCTACTTAGGGGTAGGAGGTCCTTTTAAATCCAATAAGGTAAACTGACAGTCTACCAAATACCTTTTAAATATATTTGCTTATGCTCACTTAACCACTAAAACCACTTTTGAAGGGATGCCTAATTGAATTTGGCTTTAAACTTTAAATTTTAAACCCTCTAGAATACCGTGGACAGAAAATATAGAAGCAAAATTTTCACTTGAATCTTTTATCAAAACAGAACTATACTAATAGTACTATAGTACGAACTATAATAGTAATATACAGGGCGTCCCTCGGCTGCCTCACACGGAGGGAAAGTATATTAAATATTGAAGCTAGGATATTTAACTGAAAGAAGACATCATTTTATTTTTAATAATAACTGGAACTGCATTCACAATTTTTTTTAAAATCGCCTTCTACAACTGGGAATCAAACTCGTGAAATTTCGAAAAAAATAACATTGGATATTTTTTTGATAACCATCGAAAGGGTTAATCATAAGGATTATGTACCAGTATAATATATATATATATATATATGTATATATATTTTTTAAACACGCACTAATTAGCCTAGCCCCAAAGTAAGCACTGCAAGGCTTGTGTAATGGGATGCTAGGGTAACGGATAGAATACATATACTGTACATATATAAGTATATTTATATAGAAATACATATTAAATATCTATGACTGGAGTACAAATGCTCATGTTCGCCACACAAACATCTGCCCCCACCGGGATTCGAACCTGGGACCTCTCGAGTCGGCGACACCATGAAACAAGGCGTACAAACCACTCGGCCACGGAGGTCGTCATTAAGATATATAGTCTTGTGACGCTCGTGACGGATTTCCGTTCCATCTTTTCCATAGATTTTTCCATTTACACCCCGTCCGAAAAGGAGTTTGACTACAAAAAAAAGCAATTGTCTCCACTTACTGATAAAATCCTTGATGGCTTGAGAGCCTGAGTCCAATATGTCGGTTGGGTTGATTCTAATCTTGCAATGCTTTACAAAGGGCATCTCGGGCAGCTTGGCCCACTCGCCGCCCCCGCTCGTGGAGCAATGTACGTCGATCGAAATGGAGTTCTCGTACGCGCGGATCACGCGCTGCACCTCGTTCTCTTGGTAAGCGTCTGTGAAGTCTGCCAGGGAGAAGGTCCCGTCCTGGAAGAGGAAAGCTGGTATTATTCAAGAGTCTCAATGAAAATAAATAAATATTTTCTACAATGCGATGAGATGGCGCTGCATTGCAGCTTAAGAAACACTAGTGAGAATTCGACACGGCCATCAGGGCCGAAGTAGCCTAATGGTCAGTGCATTCGCCCGGATAGCGAAGGGTGCGAGTTCGAGTCCCGTCTACTGTCTGGTCCGCGTGGAAATTACACCACATAAATCAAATGCACATTTCATAGCTCCACTTGTTTGGGGAGGAGTCTTTTTTGAAGTGAAAACTTCTTTAGCGGCGTTGTACACTTTTTTTGTATGGGTAAAAATGTTAAACTCGCGTCAGGTTAATCATGTGGGTTGATTGCATCATGACACACAATAAAATTGGAAAGGTTGTTGACTTTCAATATATTGGACGAAACATTGTAATATTTTGTTTTACCGTATTATAATAATAAGTCTATATCTAGGACGTCCACGTGGCATCTTTATTGCGAAGAAAATGCATTTTTTTTACAATAGATGTCGCTAGGTGCGCTTAAATGTGATTTATGTAAGTTGATTTATTTACAATAGATGTCGCTAAGTGCGCTTAAACGTGATTCATGTAAGTTGATTTTTCTGAGAGATAAACTTTTTTAATGTAATATAAATTGTCATGTTTGTGTACGATAGCGCAATAAATAAATATTGTATTCTACCACATACATGATAGTACTTTTATACTGATAATAAAAGCAATTCGTGCAAAATTATTCCCTAACCATTCCAAAATTTCTGCCGACATTCCTTGAGTGCAACCCGTCGTTTGTTTTTAGATAGGTCCATTAAATGGCTCCACCCCACCTGATGTTAAGTGACGGTGAAGTCCAGTCGCGAAGATAGCTGTTACAGCAGTGCTACCTGCCACACCAGCCATTCCTACCCTGCCTCTGGGGACTTATTGAACGAAGTTCCGTTGGATGTATTCTCTGAGGATAGTCTTACATAACCTTGCCACTTGTTATGCGGTGAGGTATGCGTCACGAATTTTCCCCACGATGTTTTATAAAAGGGTCCCAAAGTACTTCACATTGGATGAATTCTTTTTGGACGGGGAAAATGACACACGTCCTTTGAGGTTCATGTTATGCAGCTTTCATGTCATGTCACATAACAATGTGACAGAACCATTTTTATTCCAAAGCCTTATGATGTATTTAGTAAAACTAGCGGCCCGCCCTCGCTTCGCTTCGGTGTAGAGCTGAAGTGTAGACTACAGTTTTTGTTCTCAGGCTTGTATTTTACACAATGACATTCATCTATGATTCTTCTTATACCTGCATGCAGAGTCTCAGCCCGATCGGTTTAAAATTGACAAAGTTTCATACAAACTTTCATTCCCTATTTTATCCCCTTGGGGATAGAATTGATCAAAATCCTTTCTTAGCGGATGCCTACGTCATAACATCTACCTGCATGCCAAATTTTAGCCCGATCCATCCAGTGGTTTGGGCTGTGCGTTGATAGATCACTATGTCAGTCAGTCACCTTTGAGTTTTATATATATAGAAGATAGATGTCGTTTGCTTCATATCTCATTTCCGCTACAGTGCACATTGTCAATAGGCTCTTAATATTACCTCACCGGGGGTTGTGACAAAAATGTCACCTCGCTTTGTGACCTTTTATATTATGTAATCCGATCCAATAGCTCGCACAAGTTAAATGCAATAGGGTATTTGTGTGATAGCTTTTTGAAGTTATCACAAAAATTTCTTTACGCACGCTTGACTTGGGGGTAAGCTGGCGAATACGTTACGTTACGTTACGAAAAGAGTGTTCGGGGATAGTATAAATATATTAAAATTGTTTAAAGGTTCAGAACCGTACAACCGTACAGCTTAGACTTTTTTTGCTGAGTATATTTGGTGCCTAATTCATACGAGTTCGATATGAGACTACAATTTTAACGATAGGCATTATAATATCTCTTACTCATAATTCAAAATTTAAATCCAATCCAGAAAATATTCATTCGTTTCATTAAAATACAGGTACGTCGCCATGAATTAACAAATACAGCCGCGGGCGTTATCGGCACAGATGATTTTCATTTAAATTCAAATTCCGAGAACGTATATTTCGGTGGAATTGATTTATGAAAGCTTCTAACGTTCTGTTCGTATATCGGATCACGTGGATGGTAAATTATATTAGCTTCATACATTTTCCAAGGACAAAAGTCTCTTTTAAAGGTTTTTTCTTCTAATCATTTTATTTATAAACCTCTTATCATATTAGCCCTCTGCTGTCCATCCATCCGTTTGATCGTCACTCGTTTCAAAATTGTTACACATTGTTTATTTAATTTGCCGTAAGGCTGGTTTCACAGCTATCCGGGAGACATCCGTACGGGCGCCCGGAACGGGAGCACATGTTAGGCGCACCAATCCGCGTCGCTGTGAAACGATGGTCTAGCGCATAATATGTGCTATCGCTCCGGGCGCCCGTACTGACAGCCCGTACGGGTCTCCCGGATATCTGTGAAACCAGCCTAAGCCTTTTTATTTATTTATACATTTTGTACACACATACCTATATAAATAGACAGATATTCCAAATAAGATAGTAGTACAAGGGCACAGCTTATGTCAATCTGAAATTTCTTCCAGCAGTCCCGTTGTAGGAAAACACATTGAAAAGGCAGTCGGTATCGTTAAATACTTATGAATAGGGGATATACACATATAAAATTTATACATAAATACATATTTAAATATATATGTGTATATATTTTAAGATAAAAGGCCTCTTTTTTACATCATAACAGATAAAAGGAGGGATGAATTCCCAATTAAATTTGTCGTAAGAATAGTTTATATACATACTTATTTATATGCAACCTCTTTGGCTGTACATACAGTAATTTAAAAGAATATGAATTAACGTCATTAATGCGAGACATGCTAAAAATGGTTGTTTGATTTATTTAAAATATATTTCTTTAAAATATTTCACGGTGTCAGGTGTGGTTTATTTGCAATAAAAATGGTTTTAAACTGGTAGATTTCATTAAGAATGTCGGAAAGAAGTCAGCGCGGAGTAAAATCCGGGCACGAGATGTTGCAACAGCCGGAATTACCGTTATCTATTGTTTAACCATAACCTCATTTTCCAATATTCAGATTTCAATCTTCGAAGTTTCATGCAGACTTTTATGCCCTAGAAGCTGATTTTTTATAAACCCTTTCCTAGCGATGGCTTTGCCTTAATACTATCTGCGTTCAAAATTTCTGCGCAGTCCGTTCAGTGGTTCAAGTTGTGTTGACAAATCGGTAACAGTTACCTTTTCTAGGCGTATATGTGTATAAATAGTGAGTAATATGTCGGAATTGAACGAATTCACCCGCAAATCGGACCATTTGTAAAGGAAATCTCGGCCGACGCGGGCAGCGTACCTGTGCGCCTGAAAAATGTACAACCTAATCGGATTACGGCCGAGAATTCTATTTCTGAAAGTAATGTTCTGTGCAAGCGGGATGTTTAGTTTCCTCTTGATATTTGTGTAGCGTTTCTATAGGGCTGTAATGAATCTAACATATCAGATAAGTGTGAGCAATGGATTCTAGATTATTTATTCAGTCTAGGTCATAAATAGTATCGCAGAACTAGAAAAAATAGACTGTTCCTGACTGGCTCTCCAATTCGAGCCGAAAATCAAGTATGACCTATTTCTCTTAAACTAACTTCGAATATGTACTGTGGCGATAAAAGAATATTGAATTATAGCTTTTAGTGCTCGTTCATTAAAGATTACAATCGCACATCATGGAATATAAATCAACAGTGCGTACAATTTATATATATATAAAACTCAAAGGTGACTGACTGACATAGTGATCTATCAACGCACAGCCCAAACCACTGGATGGATCGGGCTGAAATTTGGCATGCAGGTAGATGTCATGACGTAGGCATCCGCTAAGAAAGGATTTTGATCAATTCTACCCCCAAGGGGATAAAATAGGGAATGAAAGTTTGTATGAAACTTTGTCAATTTTAAACTGATCGGGCTGAGACTTTGCATGCAGGTATAAGAAGAATCATAGATGAATGTCATTGAGTATAATACAAGCCTGAGAACAAAAACTGCAGTCTTCACTTCAGCTCTACACCGAAGCGAAGCGAGGGCGGGCCGCTAGTTACATATATACGGTAACATTACGATACAAGTAAAACACTTTGAGTAAGTGTTACATTCTCTCATTTCCATTCCCTCGAGCTTTCAGTGCCATTAGAAGGAAATAACATTTCTACCTGAACAAATTGACTTCAACGCTTCGCAGCAAGTAATGTCAGATTAGTGTTAGTATCCTGATATATGTATATTAAAACATACAAACCCTAGCAGTGAGAATGAAATACGATATTGACGTCAATTTTGGGAATATTAAGAAAGAAAGTGGAGAATCTAGTTCTGTATCAGTATTCAAAAAACATCTGAAGGGACACTATTTATCTTCTTGCCCATAATTTTGCCCTTCTTCTTCTCATTGTTTCTCTTCTCGTCGTCCATATTATATGTATGTGTTTATTTATATATTGTCATCTATATCATAGTGTACCTAATCTATACACGGGCCACCGACCACAACCACAAAACGCCGCCACCGGCATATTTCTTGTAGTTTTTATACATTTTATATGGACTCGCCACACACGGTACGCCGGTGGCCGCCACACGCTACAAATCGTCGTTTCTCGCTTCTTGTGGCCCGCACCGGCCACTTAATGCGCCGATACAAAACGCCGCCACACGTCACTCGCGCGTTCCCCACCCCTCTCTCCCTTACCTTAGCCGCTGTCGCGCGCTTCAGCCACTTTAGTAGCCGCTTCTAGCTTCTCGTGGCGGCGTTTGTGGCTGTGGCGTGTGGCCCGTGTGCGGTGAAACATATTCGTATGTGTATGTATTTATTCATTATAAATGTACTTCTACACATATATACAAATATAAACCTATATATGTAGTTCTCATATTCATAGGTATTTAACATGTATTATATTCAGATGTACACTCTGACTACCTATTCTTATATTCTTTCCTACTACGGGCGCACACTAGAAGAAATTTCAGTTTGAAATAAGTTGTGTTATCATAAATTAAGTTGCTCCTGTATCTATATTTGTGTACAGATTATATAAATAAATAAATAATAAGAATCCTTTCGCTATATCTTAAACACAGTAAAATACCTGATATTTAAGTACCATTTACAGTCCTGTTTTCAATAACCCTTGTCTTTAATATACTTGATCTCATCAATTTTTATCTCGGTGTTTTAATTAAAGATTAGGTCGGAAAGATGCTACGCCTCATTACCTATTCAGCTTTTGTTAGCCATCTTGACTCAATCAGCGATATTTTGGATGGAGGCATTTGAAGTCCGCATTATATTATCTTCTCGAGTGAAGTCATTCGTTGAATAATTCATAACGATGCTTATTTAGATTATTTTGATAGACGACCTTTTCTTACTTACAGGTTGCTATGTTAAAGAGTCATGCAAGCAATGAACAAATATTACTTCATTTTTTGGTAATTTGGTACTGCTAGTCTCGAAAAAACTCTTTTCACTTTTTGTGAGATTGCTTTCATAGCGGAGATGTTAAATTTCTAAATTGCTTTTTAGATTTCGTTTCTGATAACGTACAAGTTTTCATGTACAGTACACCTCATCGACGCCGGTCAATAGGGTATTTGACAGTATTAAAAATAAAGTGCCAATTGTTAGCATCTATATTAAAAATGAATATTGACAGGAGTTTTTACTATTTTCACAGAATAAATATTCATAATTTAACTAAAAACCTACGATAAAGATAATAGTTTTCTTGTCTATTGTCAAGTGACCCAAAACACTTGGGATTGGTGGAGCCTAAAATGACGTCACACGCAAGTAAACTTCCGATTAAAGTGACATTAGATTGTATGGTTTGACGTTTTCATGACAGTCGTGTGACGTCACACACCAGTGAGACGCCATATTGTACAGGGATACGTTTTCGCGGCAACTTGAAAATAGAGTTTTTGTTTTAGTTTTTTTACCGAAATACACAACATAATGATGATTATCCACTTTGTATGGACTCTATAAACATTAGTAAATAACGTGAGATCGTTTTCTAAAACTTGTCAAATACCCTATTGATGGTCAGCATATTTTATCAATGTTTTAAACTCTCAACTCAACAATGGCCACTGCTGTGTACAAATACTCCTAATGATCTCTACCATGATTGGTCCTGCGCTGCCATCCAGCGGCTTAGCCTTTAGTAGATCATCAGTTCACCCACTGAGCAATTGCCATTTGAGAACCTCTTTCTTTGTTACGTGTGTGTGGATGGCTGGTGTGGCAGGTAGAACTGCTGTATCAGCTATCTTCGCGTCTGGACTTTACCTTCACTTAACATCAGGTAGGGTGAAGTCATTTGTCGGACCTATCTATAAAAAAAAAGTGCCCCTCCCATGACCACTTCAACAGAGCAATCTCACGAGCTATGTCCGTTACTTTAGTTCTCATATGAATTTCCTCATTTACGATCCTATCATGCAGGCTAGGTGCTGCTGGAAGAAATACTTTAGTAAGGTCTTAAAGGTTTTCTTTAACATGTACATTTAAACCTAGAACTTTGCTAGCTAAGCTAGAATTTCGGCCGTTTAGAAAGCGAAAAGATTAAGAATGTAACCTTAATTTCCTATATCACCGGGATTTTCCAGTTTACGATAATTTATTTCCCCCTGAAAATTTTACTTTTTGCTCAACAGATTCAGCGAAAATCCGTTTCGAGACAGACAATTTATAAATTCATCATGAATTCTCAACGTACACAGAAAAATATATGTTTTTGGATTTCCATGAGTATAACAAAATTTTCGTAGATTGCTGTGGATGATGGGAAAGCGATTTGGATCCGGAGGTAATCTGATAAGCTCATTACGCCCGGACCGGATAAACCTTCGAATGTTGCCGTAAGAATCGGTTTACGCAATCGGATTATTTTCGGTATCTGCTTCTACCTAAATTATTATAAATTTAATGTGAAATTTTGGTTGCTACAAAATCATCCTGGCAAGGCTGGAGGCAATAATAATCAAACCCGAAAAATATACCCTAGCTATTTTATAGGGTTTCGTGCCAAAGGGTAACACTGAAACCCTATTAGGTGCTTTGCTTCATTTATTTTTGTTGTTCTATGCACTGCATCGCAGTCACAGGTTACCCATCCAAAGACGAATAAGGTTGCTTAACAATCACGATCGCACCAACGTACCTGCATGATCCAGGATCCGTTCCCTGCGAACGTGTAACCGGCATGCACCAGGTGGTAGTGCCTGGTGAAGGAGCTTTCACTGGTCACCCAAAGACCCACCATCGTGAAGGTCGCTTCACATTCACAACGTACCTGAATGATAGGTTGCTTCACATTCACAATGTACCAGCATGATAGATTGCTTCACATTCATAACGTACCTACATGATCGGTTGCTTCACGTTCACAATGAACCTGTATGTTAGGTCGCTTCACATTCACAATGTTCTAGCATGATAGGTTGCTTCACATTCATAACGTACCTGCGTGATAGGTTGCTTCACATTCATAACGTACCTGAATGATCGGTTGCTTCACATTCACAACGTACCTGCATGATAGGTTGCTTCACATTCACAACGTTCCTGTATGTTATAGGTCGCTTCACATTCACAACGTACCTGCATGATAGGTTGCTTCACATTCATGATCGCACGAACCCACCTGCATGATCCAGGATCCGTTCCCTGCGAACGTGTAGCCGGCATGCACCAGGTGGCGGTGCCTGGTGAAGGAGCTGAGCAGGTTGCGCATGCACTGCATCAGCGTGTTCATCTGTGGGTGGATGAGGATCTCCGTGACCAGGTTCTCGGAGGCGAACTGGATGAGCCGCTCCCCTGTGAACAGAGAAACAGGCGGTCATTGTAGGGACAAGAATCAACAGGTCAAGTTATCCAAAACTGATGATATTTTTCATTTGACTTTACTTTAAGGCTTTGGATGGCATTAAATTTACGTTCCATTGAAAAAAACAAGCGAGCCTTCCAGTATTCGCGTATGATGTGTAACATTTGAAACCTCACACTTTTATCAGTAAAAAACGAAATAAAACCTACTACTACAAAAGGAATAAGCCATTTGAACATTATGTTCCAAAATCAAATCAAATAGCGCGCGCTTTCGCGACTTCCTGTTACACACTTCCGTCCCATTTAACAAAATCACTACCACAAATTGCAGGAAAGCGAGAGGAAAGATGTTACACATCAAAAATTAATAGTTTGTGAAAACTCGATGTGTGGTACAAATACAATACACAAAATTGTGAAAATTTAGTGACATCGAAAAACAGAAGTATACTGGCACCGACTTTAAATAATTTAAATATATATATATATATATATTTAACACACACTAATTAGCCTAGCCCAAAAGTAAGCACTGTAAGGCTTGTGATATGGGATACTTGGGTAACAGATAGAATATATACTGTACATATATAAGTATACTACATAGAAATACATATTAAACATCTATGATTGGAGTACAAATGCTCGTATTCATCACACAAATATCTGCCGCCACAGGGATTCAAACCCTCTCGATTCGGCGACACCATGAAACCCGGCGTACAAACCATTCGGCCACGGATATTGCTATGTACAGTACTACAGTACAGACAGCCACAGTTCATGTTATCCAAAAAGTAACTTTTATCTTTATACTACACTCAATATAAAATTCACAATGTATTGAGAAATTTTCAGTTAATCGTAACTAAATGCTGTATTTTCTTCTTTGTCTTACATTATTAATAGAGGAGTTGTCTCACGACTGCTTAATCTATCTATATAAATAAAACTCAAAGGTGACTGACATAGTGATCTATCAACGCACAGCCCAAACCACTGGACGGATCGGGCTGAAATTTGGCATGCAGGTAGATGTTATGACGTAGGTATCCGCTAAGAAAGGATTTTGATCAATTCTACCCCCAAGGGGATAAAATAGGGAATGAAAGTTCGTATGAAACTTTGTCAATTTTAAAACGATCGGGACTTTGCATGCAGGTATAAGAAGAATCGTAGATGAATGTCATTGTGTATAATACAAGCCAGAGAACAAAAACTGTAGTCTACACTTCAGCTCTACACCGAAGCGAAGCGAGGGCGAGCCGCTAGTTTGTACATATTGGTAAAAGATCATTTGTTATTGCTTTAATTTGGTCAGTCCATCTTGTTGGCGATCTACTGGATTCCATTTTTATTTCTGTTCATAAAATTTTATATTTTACTAGCTGACTCGGCGAACTCCGTACCGCCCAAAAGTAATAATTTGCAATAAATTAAAATTGCAACTATAATTTGAGATATAAACTATCCTATCTCTCAAGTTGGATCGAACTGCACATGGTGTGCGAATTTTATTATAATCGGTTAAGTGGTTTAGGTGTCCATTGAGGACAAACATTGTGACACGAGATTTATATATATTAAGATTTTCCCCATTGTTTTACTAGCAAAAGATTTATAAATTATTAAGGTAGGCCAAACGGAACACGTCTCTTCTTACAAGACTTTGACATTAATACAAGAAAGGAAAGGCAGCCTCATGTATCAAGCGTCTTTTGTTTATAAAGTGGTCTGATTTTTCCAGAATATAAATTTCTCACGTCGAGATAACAAGCGCCCTTGGCCGTGGGCGGGCGGCACGAGCATAAAATGCTAATGGCTACCACACACGACGTGTTAATGTTGCCGCAAATAGAAAAAAGAATGCAACAAATGATACTACTGTTAATAAAAATACTTATTTTATAAATGATATAATTAAAAAGTAGAAATCAAATTATGATTATAATTGTTTATTTTTTAAGCATGTTACTGCTTGGTGTTTAAATCTAAAGAAAATATAACTAGAAAAAAGTTCCACGCGGACCAGGCAGCAGACGGGACTCTTGGGAATTTTTTCTGGTTATATTTTCTTAGTGATATTTTCATCAAATTATGAGTTAAAATTTCAAAAACGTGATTTTCACCAGAAAGTTAATCCCTATACCACACAGTCGGAGAGGCACAAAAACGCTTTCTGAATAATATTATTTGTTTTCTTGAAAATTAATAGTCAGGCCTTAACATGATCATGTTTGGTCACTCTTAATAAAAAAGTTTTGATCTGTGTTAATGACAGTTGACTATCCCATTGTCTTATAAAATTTCTCTGTACGCGATAGTTAGGTATTTGCGCTATATTATAAACATTACCTATTAATTATAATGATATAGCATGTATTTAAGTGCGAACTATGATAGCTAGACTGTCCCAATTTGTTAATAAGATTATCTAGTCCAAAATTTATGGGGCGAGACGAGGGCGGTCGTCCTTGGGCGTCCAAGGGCGGGCGGCGCGAGGAAACAATACTAATGACTATATTATGTATACAGGCCGTAAAAAGGATCGCAATATTTCATGAATATACATTCGCCTTTAACAACAGACCCTCTTTCAATCGATATTGACATGGGATCGATGGATAGAACAAATCTACGATAAAAATATTGGGATACTCGCCTACATCCGATTTATGTGCTTGTGTATTGTACAAAATGGCTGACAAGCAAAATTTATGTTGAACCGTTTTCAAGTAAATGTTGCTATTGAAAAAACAATTATAAGAACGCAGTAGTAATACAGCGTTAACGGCGAATTAATACAATAAAACAATCAGTGAACATTTATTTCATAAATCCCATAGCGTGGTAAAAGTCAAAAATTATTTTTTTCAAGTGCCTAATTTATCGTGGGTGCCTACGATATAGGACCTCCTAGTGTGGGGCCCATGGTTATAAGCTGACTGTATGATGTTTTTTTAATAAATATATTTGTATTTGTAAATTGGATGTACAATATAACTCTTATGAATCGTATATAATTTAAAAAAAAGTTTACTAGAAAAAAAAAAATACTTGAAAAAGTATTCATTTGACATTGTGGGTTACCTACAACGCGAAGAGATGGCGCTGCCTTGCAGCTTAAGGCTAGGAAAATTTCGACGCGGCTAATAGGGCCGTGGTAGCATAATGGTCAGTGCATTCGCCCGGATAGCGAAGGATGCGGGTTCGAGTCCCGTCCGCTGCCTGGTCCGCGTGGATTTTTTTCTAGTAAACTTTTCTTTAGATTTAAACATCTAGCAGTTAAATGCTTAAAAAATAAATAAAATCATAACGTATATAATTTTATCCCTACAACCAGTTAGGGCATTTTTTAGATGTAGAGAAAAACTGGCGAAAACGAATTCACAGCGTTAAATAATTATGTAACTTTTAGGAACAAAAGGGAGGTGCGAGTAAAAACACTCGATTGCATACCCATCGGTCAGTCCGTCTTGAGTTATGGTAGCCATACACACTACGAGAAATCGTTACGATTAGACTGTACAGTCCGAACGGTACCGATAAATCGTAGCGTGTATGTTATAAAACTGCACAGTTTCCTATACGTACGCCACGTACGATAAACTGTTCCGTTCGAACTATACAGTCTGATCGTAACGATTTCTCGTAGTGTGTATGGCTACCATTAGCTAATGAATCGGTCCAGTGACAAAGTGCACAATTTGTCCATCCCAGCCACGTGGACAATAGAATATTATAATAGCATCAGGTGTTCCTTAGTAGCCTATTAGGGCCCCCTGTGTCGTATGTGGTTTTTGAGTGGTAGTGAGTTTAAGTGTTCCCAAAACCCTGGATGTTTCAAACACATTCGCTTGGCTTTGGCTGGCGGGTTCTACATAATGAGGAGCGCTCCTCCCGTCGCCGTTGTACTGAAGCCGCTGATGGGACACTAGTCTGTAAGTCCTTAGATTTTATATTTGGTTAGGGTTAGGCATATTTAACGTGCCTTCTAACGAGCCGTGTATCGCGGAGCTAAGTACGCCCCGGCGTTTTTGTTCGAAGTTAGGACAACGTGGTTTCTGCCCTACAGACGACCGGCTGCGTATTGAACAGTAACAACAATATTTACAAAATATTATATTTTAAATCTAAAGAAAAGTTTACTAGAAAAAAATCCACGCGGACCAGGCAGCGGACGGGACCCGAACCCGCACCCTTCGCAATCCGGGCGAATGCACTGACCATTATGCTACCACGGCCCTATTCGCCGCGTCGAAATTTTCCTAGCCTTAAGCTGCAAGGCAGCGCCGCCCGTTCGCTGCCTGGACCGCGTGGATTTTTTTTCTAGTAAACTTTTCTTTAGATTTAAAACATCTAGCAGTTAAATGCTTAAAAATAAATAAAAACATAAATATTATATTGTTACGATATCAATACTAAATCGTAGCACTTTCGTCATAGTTATAAAAAAAGCCTGCCGGAACGTTTGAAACGGTTGAAACCCAAGCATTTCTGTCTGAAATATAATCAGACTCCTTATAATAGGCTTTATTAAGAAGGTTTATACTCGTAGCAAGCCTTTTAAAATAATATAATAGCGGTGATGCTAACTTGACTATTGCATTTGGGTGATTGGGTTCCCAGTGCAATAGGGTATTTGACAAGTTTTAGAAAACGATCTCACGTTATTTACTTATGTTTATAGAGTCCATAAAAATTGGATATTCATTATTATGTTTTGTATTTTGGTAAAAAAACTAAATCAAAAACTCTATTATCAAGTTGCCGCGAAAATCGTATCTCTGGACAATATGGCGTCTCACTGGTGTGTGACTGTCATTAAAACGTCAAACCATACAATCTAATGTTACTTTAACCGGAAGTTTACTAGCGAGTGACGTCATTTTAGGCTCCACCAATCCCAAGCGTTTTGGGTCACGTGACAAAAGACAAGAATACTATTATCTTTACCGTGGGTTTTTAGTAAAATTATGAATATTTTT